TGCTAAGGACAGGCAAGAAGCAAAAGGTGACAGAAATAGGGTAAGAGAGTTGAAAATAACTTTTCAGAGAGTATCATGTAGAGATAAAAAGAACTATTACAATCGTCAGAACAAAACAAAAAAAGAGGAAAAACAAATGGCCTTTTCCAGAACATCTAAGAAATCAAAGGGAAATTCAAACCCAGATTAGGAATGCTGAAAGACTAACAGGGAACATACTATCTGACCAACATAAAATAAAAGTGGAACAGAATATAGAAGAAATATACACAAGAGATAAAAGGATGACAGACTCCTTCAAAAAGAAATCCTACAAGGAAGAACTTGCAGCAATAGAAAGTGAAGCTGCTCTGAAAACACTTGGAAAGAATAAAGCACCCAGAGTAGATAGGGTACCGGTAGAACTATTCTCAGCTGAAGAGACTGGATCAGTCCAAATCCTAACAAGAATATGCAGACAAATATGGAAAACAAAACAGTGGCTCACAGGCTGGAACAATTCAATCTACATTCCAATCCCCAAGAAAGAAGAGGCTGAGGAGTGCAGCAACTACAGGACCGTCACACTAATTTTCCATGCAAAATGATGCTGCAACAAAGAATGTTACCCTATATGGTGAGAAAATCCTGACGTTAAAGCTAGATTCTGAAAGGGAAGAGGCACACAAATTCATACTGCAAATAGATATTGATTACTGGGGTGCACCAAAATATTTCAAATCAGTTTGTTCTTTATAGACTACAGTGAAGCCTTTGACTGTGTGGATTACAAGAAAGTATGGATGGATTGGAAAGAATTGTGTGTGCCTCAGCACTTGACAGTCCTGATGCGTAACCTGTATTGAGGAAAAGAAACTACTGTACAGACAGAAGATGAAGAAAGAGAATGGTTTCCTGTAGGCAAAGGCAGCAGAGAAGGGTGTATTTTATCACCCTATCTGTTCAATCTGTAGGCAGAACATATCATAAGGAAAGCTGGATTAGGATCAGAGGAAGGGGAACATCAATAATTAAAGATATGCAGATGATCCCATATTATTCCAGTCGCGCTTATGCACTTTTTTACCTGTTCATCAGGTGCCATTTCAATTCACCACTGCTTTCTGCCAGTAATATGGTATCATTTGCATATCATAGAATAACAGGGAAAACAGCATCAAGAGGATTACCCAGAGTCAAGTAATTATTGACAGAACTATTTCGTATTTCTGTTTAAATACTTCTTTGCTTCATATATTTCCCAGGCGATTTCTTCATTGTCTTAGTCCTTAAGTCTTCATCTAATTCTGCCTTATTGTAGTGTAAACTCATTGGGTTGGATCCCGATTTTGGTGTGCAACTGGGCTGACAGAAGTAGATTTCCGCACAATAACCTCTAGCCCCCTGAAAATACTGCAAGGGTCAGAGAACCCTGCCAAATGGACTACACTGGGGTACAACTCTAGAAATTAGGTCATCAAGAAACGATAAATCCTGGATCCAGTCCACTGCTGCTTCTCCTACCTTCAGGGTTCTTCATAAATTGTTCTTCTCAAGCTTCTTTCTGACAGCTTTTTCAATACATGAAAACCTTAAATGTCCCCATACCTCCATCTCCTTCCATTTGAACTAAATATTCTGGATGACTTTGTTTCTTGATGCATTCCAATTGGGTATTTGGACTGGTGGTGGCTTTAGTAGCCCTGGCATGTTATTTTTAGCTGAAGGTCAACAGAGAGGGAATTACCTCCCTTTTATTCTTATTGGATCTCTCAGTAGCTTTTGATGCTGTGGATCACACTGTTCTTTTCGATCATTGTAAATCACTGGCTTTTGGGGCTAGCTCTTCAGTAGAGTTTCTTCCTTGGTGTTTGCTTGCACTCTAAAGGTGGTTTCATTGATGTTGTTTGCTAGCCCTTGGGAATCAGAATGTAGTCTTCCACAAATCTTGGTTTATTCACCAATGCTATGAAACTAGCCATTGGAAGAATTTCAGAGTTTGGTATCGTGTGTGTCAATTATACTGCTATAGCTAAGATATTAGAAGTGGCTGGCTGTGTCCTAAACTAGTGTCCATAGCTATTCAAACTAGCTATGTTTGAATAGATGAAGGTGAACAAGAAAAAAGCTGAATCAAGAGAATGTGAGAAATGCTGCTGCTAGGGAATTCTCTTGGAGGTGGCCTGTGGTTTTCCCATTTGAACATATTTAGAGTCAAGGTGGATCTTGCCTGTATCTATCTCTGCTCCTGAATAAACAGACAGCAGTGGTGGCCATGGGAGCATTGCACATAGGTTCTTGCCTCTGTTTGAGGAAGAGGGATCTGACTTCGCTTAGCTATACTTTTATGAGCGTTGGGGATGAACAATTGGTGGCCTTCCAGATGTGCCGGCTTACAGCTTCCATGATCCCTTACGACTGGTAATGTAAACTAGGTCTGTAGGCTAAAACAGCTGGAGAGCCCCAACCCCATCCATTTTACAGGCTTGAGGACTATTAGTATTTGCTTTTCTGCCTGTGAAAATAACTCAGAAACAAAATGTCATTGCTCCTCTCACTGAGACATGAATGTAACTACTGTTTATATCACTGCAATGTTTTCCTTTCAGCTTCTAGACCAGTTGAGGGGGCGTTCTTGCAGGACATGAAGCCCGCCATATATAAAATCCTTCAGGACTTTGGACTGCCGTGCCTTTGGAACCACCTGTCCCTCTATTAGCCTTTACGTTGCTGTTCAGCAGATCAGGCCTTGCTCCACTTGTCTCCATTTTATGGACTCTGAACATTCACTCTGAACAGAAGAACCATTACTGCAATTGTCCAAAAGCTACAGAATCACTAGAGACAGTTCTTACCTTGATAGTTTTTGTAAAGGCTGTAAGATCTAATTGCCTTGGCTAGCATTTGGCAATTAACCAGTCGCTTATTTAACAAGCCACTGTTTCACTAACTGATGGTGATTTTCAGTTGACTATTTACTTGGTTGGCATGAGGGCATTGCAATTGGAGAAACAAATCAGTCCCTGTCCACTTCTGGGGCAGGGTGTGTGTTGGTTAGTTATTCTTTTTCAAAAGTAAGTGGTGGTCACTGTTGGTAAAAATCTTCTGCCATGTAGAAGCTCCTCCACTTGTGAACATTTAGTGTAGATATTGAGGTTACTAATACACTGATTCTGTAACGGTAGACTTGCCTTAATAAAAATAGCTTGTTGGTTTGGTTGGACAGATATTTTGTTCAATTCCGAACATTCTGGCGGCTATAGCTATACTTTATACCCCTTTCTGGTCTCATACTCCTGTTCTAGTAGGGGGTCAGCCACTAGAGGCGCCCAATCCTATTCCTTGCGAGGAAGCATCTGATCTTTTCTGTTGCCAACTTGAAGCCGGGAAGCAGGGAAATGCATCCATCCTAACTTTCAGGCAGACCAATTTTAGAGGATAGAGCACAGATCCAGCAATTTCTTCTTCAAGTAGCCCTCAAGACAAATGATATGCACGAGGGCTTTGTAGTAGCTTGAGAGATACTAAGCAACTTCAGAGCTCAAGAATTAATGGAAGGCCAGTTTTCACTAAACAGTGTAATAATCTCCTAGTAATATATTCAAATTTTGCCAAGGTCCTGTTAAGTAATGGATAAGCTGATGAAAGCAAAAATCTTAGGAAAAGGACGTTATTCCTCTTACTCCTGACATGGGTATGTTAACACACAACTCTGAGTGGAAAAAAATAACTTAAATCAGTTCTGGTCTCATCACAGCTCCAGGCCTATAATTTGCTGTTGAAACTGTATATAGTATGAGGCCAGGTTTGTTAAATGATCTTCACACTGTAAACGGAAACCTGGTTCCTGAGCAAACTGCCTCCAGACGCCATTCACACTGAGAGCAGGGCTAGCAGTGGTTGGCTCTCAAAGCCCAGGGTCCCATGATTCCTGAGACAGCCTAGGTTTTCTGGAGGAAATGGTTACAACTGCAAGATGTGGAGCCTGGGCTCAGCACTCTCCACAGATGAACTGCATCTTGGCGGGTTCTCTCTTCCTTTCACCACTCCCCGTTCCTTCTGCCATTTGAGGACCACCACCCCACTACCCACCGTTTCCTGCTGAAGAGCTTTTTCTCACACTACTAGCAACTTTCATCACTGCCAAAAGGTTGCAGACTCCATGACAACATTACAAGTTGGCCTCCTTTTCATCAACCTGCCCTACATTCTGGTCACATAACCTAGTGTCTTCATTGTACGTTTTTGTATCTTTAGAAACCATGGGTGTTCTCGCCTCGGTACAAAGATTACTTTGTGGAAAGAAGGCAGGAAACATTTGGTGCAAGTCCAGTGAATGAAGCTTTGGTTATGAAAGCAAGACCTGAAAGTGCCAGGCTTCATCTGAAGAAGCCAAGAGGACCAATTCTTTCTACAAGATCATTGGTTACTATGCAGATCAGGGATAAAGCAGAACCAAGCTTGGTGCCCGGAAATGACAGTTCCTTCTATCTTAACTTAGCTTCTGTGTTGTGGGATATCAGCCCCCAGTCATTTTGTTAAAGATAATAGTTGGATCTGCCTAAGTTTGCAAGGTACTTAAGACAAAGGTTATGAAAGGGAGAGCTGTTGTTCCCCTTCCCTTCAAGGCTTGTGGGGAGGGGATAAATCACAGTCCAACTGTGCTAAACAGCCCCAAGAGGAGGGAATACCCTATGAGGTCTAGTACCATAGGCAGTACAGAAGTGAAGAAAGGTCTTGCTGTGGGAATTAAAGGAAGACAGTCTCTGGTTCTTCACAAAAGATGGACAGTTGAACTCTGGAAGACTATTTCTGTACTTCAGAAGCAACTACTCATGGAAGCCGCTGGAAGCTTCTCTGAAGCAAGCAGGTCCACAGGAGTTGGGAATCATCTTCTCCATGCAACGAAGTCCTCCAAAATCCCTTTGCTTCTCCAACAGATTTTCCTTTGCCACCCTAGGAAGCAGTTGGGTGCTAAAGGCTGAGATGAGTAGGTGCAAATAACACCTCTGCAGTCTGGATATTTTTACATGGCATTTTATTGGGGGAGGAACTCCTACGCCTGCCTGGTTACAGAAGTGAATGATAGATATAGGCAGGCAGGGTCACCTATCCTTGTTAGGAGGGAACTCTTAACTAGTGGTCCTACTGTTAGTCAACAAGTCATGGGCGCCTGAAGCTCCAATTCTTGCCTCCCCTTCCCCAAATGAGATCAAAATGTCTGTCATTTTAAGCCTCAGAGTGGCCATCCTGACTTGTTGTGGAAGCAAGAGAAAACCAGTGAGCTCTTAAAAAGACAGACCTTCTTCCCTCCATGCTGTTTGGAACTGTTCATTCCTCTCTTTATGCTGGTTATAGAAAATTTAAAGGATGCTGGTACTATAAAGGTAACATTACTTATTTGGGGAAGCATTACTTGAGGACTATGCACAAACAAGGTTACTTCTTCCCACTTCAGAGTGGTGGCAAGGGTGCGAGTTGTTATTGCAGAAATACTCAGGAATGCTGGCACTATGGTTTCCTAGTCTTGAAAAGGTCCTTGGGGTTCCACTGGAAGGATTATTTCCCCCAAGGTAGATCAGGAGTGCTGGTGCTGTGATCTTTCACTGGAGGGCTGCAGGGAATGGCCTGCTGCCAGGATGTGCTATCACAGTGCTATCCTATTATAGGCTCTCCTATTATAGGAGTACTGCAAGGTGTGATGCTTAGAACAGGTTCTCTTATCAGCACAGAGAACCCATGCAGTGGACTCTGCCTCTAGGAGAAACACACGCATCAGGGATGACCACCGAGTTTCTCTGCTGCACTGTTATTCTGTGGTCATCTGATGAGCATGCATGTACTCTTTAGTTTCTGAAAGAACTACACAGTGCTAGGATGTTAGTTAGCTGTGGGCTTTGCAAATGCTGAGCCAGCAGAACCAGCTTGTTAAACAACTTACATTCCACTCCTCTGTAAACAGCTGTTATTGTTGGTGCATGTGGTCCTGCTGTTGTTACGAGTAGGTTGGCTGAGGAGCATGAGCAAGTCAGAGGGAATGCCTGTAAGCAGCTGGAGTTTGCCTACAGGGAAATCTAGTGCTCAGGGGCAGCACACACTATTTTGCTCCTGCAAATCACAGAAGAGGTGTTGGCTGATGGGAAACTGCAAAAGATCTGACCACCAAACCCTCTCTTCCTTTGACTCTGGAAGTGTGAGGTGGGCTCTCTCCTGGGCTGCCCGGTAGCAGCTTTTCCCAGTAGAAAAAAGAGATGGTGAAGAAGCTGAAACTTCTATTGACTGTGGTGGGGAGGGGTAATTCAGGAAGCAAGCTGGGATAGTGGTGGAAATCAATCAGAGCTGCACATGAAGGTATAGGACATGAATGGTGAAGGTGCCTGGGACTTGTAGTTAATTAGATTCCCCCACAAAAGGAGGTGGTGAGTCCCTTCTGGGTGCAAGTGGTGTGGGTGTGGCACTTACCAGACACGGCCCCAGATGGTGCCTTCCTGAGGGAGACAGCAGCCACTTGAGAAAGACTGTAGGAAATAGGGTGCCTGGGTAATATGAACCCTGCGGTGGGAGGTGACTTGGGAATCAGGGGAGGGTAATATGGCAGCGGGGGGGGGGGGGGCAGACAAGGCTCCCTCCCTGGAGCTGAGCTTGTGCCTGCTCCAGGCTGAGGCAGCCGTATCTCCAAGGCTATTTGAAGTGAGAGAGGAAATGGGCCACAGGGTAGTGCAGCGAGTCGATGCCCAGAACCTGGCAGATGCCAAGCAGCTTCAGGCACGCCTCTTGGCGGCTGGAACTGGCACAGGCCACGTTGCAGTAGGGCTCCTCGTACTCGTTGGACGCTAACTCATCATCTAGGCGGTTGAGGCGGATGATGCCACGCTCGTGGAGAGCCTGAAGCATCTCCTGGTTGGCCGTGGACTTGAGGACCTGCAAGTGCTGGGACCCCAGGCACATGACTCCCACCAGGTTGGTGTGGGGCGGGGCACGGGCAGGCAACAGTGGGGCCACTCCACAGGCCACCATGACAGAAGCCAGCATGATGTCAACTCCATAGATCTCCTGAATCCAGTCGCGGAGGTAGAAGCCACCCATGCGGGGGTTGATCTCAATAAGCTTGGGGCCGGCTGCTGTCAGCTTGAGCTCCACATTGAAGACGCCATCGGTGAGGCCGCATCCCAAGCAGCACTGGTAGGCAGCACGGATGAGTTGTGCCTCACGGTCGGGCGGCAGGCAGGTGGGCATGCAGGCTGCCGTCTCCGTGAAGTTGGGCACCCGGGTGGGCCCATTGTCGGACACAAAGGCCCCCAGCATCCGCCCTTCATAGATCACCAGGTCCACGTCATGCTCGGTGCCAGAGACGTACTCCATCAAGAGCATGGTGTTGCCCCAGCCCAGCCCAATGCCTACATAGTCAGAGTCATCCTGCAGGTCCTGGGAGATCTTCTCGAAATGCAGATGACACTGCTGTGCATCCTCCACCAGCTTTACCCCCACAGCGCCTGCCCCATACTCGAGCTTCATGACCCCGGGGAAGTTGATGTGGCTGGCCGCCCGTTCTACATCGGCATGGCTTTCCAGGTGGCAGCAGGGCACAGCATAAAGTGCTGCTGAGGGCCAGCGTGGTCCCTCCTTGCGCCGCCGCATCAAATGCAGATGAGTGCGGCTCTTCTGCTTGGCCACTCGCATGGCATTTGGGGAGCTACAGCGCAGGCCCAGCCCTTCACACACTAGCGCTGTCAGGACTATACAGTCATCCCAGTAGGACAGGCAGCCATCCAGATGCAGGCCCCTCTCCTGCACCAGCTCCACCACTCGCCGGGCATGCTCCTCATCCCTCCTGTGATCCATGGTGTCATAGTGGATGAAGGTCTGCACCAGCTGGGAGGCAAAGTGGTTGGGGTCGGACTCCACCAGGTGGATCTGGGTTTGGGAAAGAGGAGAGAGAGGGAGTGGGGTGCAGGGGAGAGAGAGAGAGCAAGAGAAAGAGAGAGAGAGAGAGAGAGAGAGAGAGAGAGAGAGCAAGAGAGAGGGAGGAGGGTTGGGTGGAGAGTGGAATCAGGGTTGGGAAGACAAAAGGGGAGACACAGAAGGGCAGAGATGCAGAGAAGGTGGGAGAAAAATCAGAGATGCATCACTACTGAGTTACAGAGAAGACCAACTCCTTGGGACCAGGTGCAACACAGCAGCCCCCTGAGGAGGTGGCACAATCCATGGGCAGCTGCTCACCACCTTATGGGAATTGAGTTGGGCAGCCCAGTCCTGCTCTTGCTGGCAGTGAGATGGCCATAGATTTGTAGGGAGGTGACGGGATCTGAGCTTTCTCAAGATCCTGGTTTCTGCAGCAGCTGAGTTCAGAGTGAGAAGGTTCATTGTCCTCTTAAGTCTGGGAGGAAGGGACTGAGGTGCTGTGAGACAAGAGCCAGGCAGGCAATGTGGGGAGGAAGGGGTCAGAGTCTTGAGAAAAGAAGCTGGGCCTGCCAGTTGCACGGAGGGGAGCCACACATCTGTTCAACATCTCTGTGCCTCCTTATCTGGAACCATTTTGGATCAGGAAGGTTCCTCCATTCAGCTCACTGAGCTTTGCGAGCCATAAGCAGGGAGCGGATCGCTGGAGCAGTCTTAACTATTTCACTGCTGTGGCTTTTTAGCAGGGATATCCAGCAACTCCGGGGATGTGGAGACTGTCAAGCAGACCCCTTCTCCCCACAGCTTTAAAGCAACCCCGGAGCCAAGCTGTTTTCTAAGAGGCGCTTGGATGAAGCATACAGACTGTCTCATTGTGAAGACTGCAGCTGTTGACTCTGGCATGCACAGCCAGTTGTGCTCAGTTCAGGGTCTGAGCTGGAGAATGGAGGTAAGACTCCAAGAGGGGCACACTCAACCCTCCGTCTCGGAGGAATAAGTTGGCATCGGGGCAGCTTGACCCTTCAGTTCTTGAAATGGCACTGTATTCCCATCTCCTCTAAAGGAGGAAGCTATCAGCACATCATCATGTCCCAGCCCTGAGAAGGGAGCAATGTTCGCATCTGAATCTGGAGAAGCCAGGAAAAATCTGACGTCAGGAAAAGGACGAGGTAAGGGGTTATCAAGTGGGTTGATACTCCCCTGCTGTCTTGGCACTAGGGCTTCCACCTGATTTCCTTGGCAGGGCTCTTATGCCTTTAAGGGGGTGCAGCAACTCATGCCCATGGGCTAAATTCAGCCCTCCTTTCCCCTGGATGCTGATCATTGAGTGATTTCTGGGCTCTTTTAGCCCCATTCTAAAAGGCTGAAATGCCTCTTTTGATGCTCGGAAACCAGCACTAAGCTTTAAGCTAAAATGCACTGGCTTTTTTGTTCTACTCCTTTTGCCTTCAGCCCCACTCATCAATCGAATGCAGCCTCAGGGGCTTCTTCAAAACGGAGTTTTGTTCAGTGCCCTGCTTTAAACAGCTGCACATGGAGCTGGAGATGCAGCAATGGAAAAAGCAGCAGTTTCTCTCTCTCTCGTGCAGCCAAGAACCCTGTCAAAATAAGGGAACAATGCCACTTAGCTGTGGGTGTACCATCCCGCAGTGGCTGGTCTTGGAGAAAGTAAAGCAGGGATCCTGGGGATCCATAATCTATGCATTCTGCCCATCTGTCCTGCCCCGTGTTTATTTCCTAATGCTACATATAAAGGCATTATACAGGAGGCAGTAGGAGGCAGCTCAGGCCAGGCCTGAAATCCACAACAGCTGCCCAAAATTCATTTCTATCCCCAGTGATGCTTCTGAAAGAAACATGTTTCTGGACTGGGTCTTCCAATGCTCTACTTGAAGCAATCCTGGTAACATGACCGGCCTCAAGGACAACTGTAAGGCATGGCAGGGGAGAAGTCCAAGCCAGAAATGGGGCAGAATGCACTCACGCAAGTGCATAGTGGAATGGGGGAGCCCTTTTGACGGGTGGTGGGAGTCTGCAATGCACTTGGATGCACCCATAAAGTGTGCATACTATATGGTCAGGGGCAGTGGGGGCTATGTTGCTCTAGCTAGTCCATCCTGCAGCCTGTGGGGGGCTGCGTGGGTCCGGTTTCCGCATCTTACTTTTAGCCCGTAGTCCCTGGCTGCCTCCCAGATGAACTTTTTGCTGAATCCGCCGGCCCCAATCACCAGCACGTGTTTGCCCTCCATCAGGTGGCACTGTGCACGACGCAGCATCGTCTCCACTAGGGGGTATGCCACCTCACCCACTGGTGCCCCCACCACCCGGCCTATGGATTCGAAGACTGAGCAGGTCTCAAGACACAGGTGCGAGTTCATCTCCAGGGCCACCAGCTGCAGCACCTGCTCCTCTGAGCTCAAGATAAAATCCACACCTGTAGAAAGCAGAAGCCAAAGATACAATCAGTTCAACAAGGTCTTCCTGGAGATCCATAGACATTCTGGTGCAAACAACCCCAAGTCCTATTGGGCACCCCTTCTCCCAGGAATCTCAAGCGTGAACCCCATTCCCTGCCAGCAACCCTGCAATGTACTGGAAAGCATGGCAACTGGCTTCATATAGTAATGGCACAGGCAAGGGAAAAAGGCTGACCCCAAACAAGCATTCAGTGTCTGCAGCCCACCAGGACTCCTGTTCCCTGAAAAGGGATGGAGGGAAAACCAGTGAGCCATTTTTAAAACAAGAACTCGAATTTATTTAATCAGGAAAGGAGAAAGGAGGGAAGAAGCAAAAGAAACAAAAAAATTAAAGCAAGATTCTAAATAAAATAAAGGGAAAGGCATGGCACTTTGAAGGCACTTAAGGCACCTGATGATGCTAAGCAGATCTGGGCCAGCCAGTGCTTGGAGAGCAGCCTCTTGGGGAACCCCATGGAACCAGTTTGAGTTCCATGACAGAAGAAAGGTGGGACAAAAATGTAATAAATAAATGTAAATATGAGGGAATCTGGTCATTATGCAGCCCAGAAATGTGGGCAATTTCTTAAGAGGGCTAGCCACTTGTGCAGGCCAGAACTCAAAGCTACGTGTAGGCCTCAGTTTCTGACTGTTGATTATGGAGCTGCTGCTGGCTGGTAACTGAGGCTGCTTTGGCTGCCTTTTTCAGTCTCTTCAGGACCTCTTTTCTGTCTCTGCCTTTCTCTCTCTAGTTTCCCAAAGCCTTTCCTTCACAAAAACTTTTCTTTACAGTTTCAGCCTCCTCAAAACCCCCACCATAGCACCTCAGGGTTGAAGGGGATTGAACTCTAGGCAGCTCCCCAAAGGGGCAGCACTGCAGCGGCTTACCCAAGATCAAGTGACTGCTGAATAAAAATCCGCCAGAGTTGCTAATTGGAGTTGGCATTAAGCCTTGCCAACTCCAGCTGGAGAGAATTCTGGAGAACCAAAGTTCTCTCTAATCCAGCATGCCATTTCCGCAGTAACTTCAGGAAGCCCACAGGGTGAGAGGGCTCTCCTAGTCTTATTGTTGTTACACGCCCTCAAGTCATCTCTGACTTATGGTGACCCTATGAATGAAAACCCTCCAAAATGTTTCTTAGTCTTGCCTACTGCGAATGTGCATTCCCTGCAACTGATCATGGAGACTCCATCACAACTAATAGCCTGCAACAGATTTCTCCTCCATGAATTGTTTCATTTTAATCGCTTTCCTACTAGTCCTTAAGGTGGAATTTGCCTTTTCTGTACTACTTTAAGACATGGAAAGCAGATGCTGCCACTGTGCCTCTCCCGGTCGTCCTATCAGTCCACTTGCCATTTTTGCTACAGTTGGTAGAGGAAGAGGGCAGGCAAAGGAAGCAGTGAGGGAACAGGGCACACATTAGCACTCCTGCATTCCTTCCTGTGACTTTGGTGCCTCTGCTTGACAGATGAATTGTCAAGAGCAGCTGCTCTTCCCGGGAGCAGCTCAACTGGCTCCTTGTTCTGGAAGGGCTGAACAGTAAGTCACTGAGTTTATTTAAAAATAAAAATAAGAAAGAGGCCAGCATCTCCTGTCAATGCCAACTGTTGACCCAATTGTATCTTAAGGGGAAGGGAGGCAAGAAGGGAAGGTAACAGCAGAAGGAGGAAGGGATGGGAAGCCTCAAAGAGGCTCTAGGAACTATGTGTTGAACCTGAAGTTGGAAGGCTCAGGGCCACTCTGTTTCTTTAAGGAGAGCTAAAGACATTCTGTGTGCTCTTGGATAATAGGAGGAATTCTGCTGTCTTTTCCACTATGCTGGGCTGGACTTCAAAGCTACCCAGTGTCCTAGGTCAGGTTGGTGGCTGTCAAGCTTACCTAATCCTTTTCCCTCTTTACTAGTATCCTGAAGTCTATGAACCAGAACCAGACACAAAAAGGTGGCTGGGGGGATAGAGCCTATTAACCATCAGTCACACACTGATACAAATCTGCATGTGAATTACCAGAAATCAGGGCTCCTAACACATCCTAAAAACTGGCCAAAGGAGTTGAAAGATCTGATCAGGGATTATGGGAGTTGTAGTCCATTTGGCAGAACCAGGTTGCCTGTACCCTTGTAGCTGCTCCCTATTGCTGCCCCACAGCTTGGGCTGCAACCAAAATGCAGAACCCCTCGATATCTTGCAAACAGCCGGACTGGCAGGCTAAGCTCACCAATAATGTCAGTTTGCCCTCGGCGGCCACCTCTTTGCTCAGCTGACAGACCAGCCTCCATATCCATAAAGGCTTCCATGGCTGCCTCGGCCTTCTGCTTTATCTGGGCATGAATGGCAGCAATCTGGGCTTCATCCTCAAGCCCCCACTGCCGCAGGCTGCTCTCCAGAGTTTGGGGCACTGTAGCCTGGTGCTTCAGGGGCTTATCTGCCCGGCCTACACCACAAACCACCTGGAACATTTTTTTTAAAAAATAGGTTAAGAACTTTCTACGTTGCAGGCATCTAATATTTACATCCTTTAGACAGACTGAACATTTTTAATTCAACATTTCCAGATTGGTGGTCCACTTTATTCTTCTTTAATTTTTCAAGCTTATGATGGTACTCCCTACCTTTTTATTATTCAGATTTACAAATTATTAATAAACAGCAACAAATTTAAGTATACTACATATGAGTCCATTTCTTTACAGGCTTTCTAATCACTCAAGATCTGTATCACTCAATAAATGGATACTACATTCCATTAAATGCAGCAATTTCTATGTGGCCTCTTGTTATAGGAAGACCTGCTTTCTTGTATTCAAAGTGTGGGCTACATCTGTGCACGCAGGATCTGCATGGTTATGCTGCATGATCTCCAGTTCTATCCAACTGTGAAGTAACTAGAATATTTCCTGCCCAGGAGGAGGTTAAAGATTGTGAGTCTGAGACTAACTTGGCTTAAGTCCAAAGAAGAAATGATTTTAGAATCAAAAGGCCACTTTAATCTCCAAGTGCCAAACCAAAGCTTGTTTGTTTGTCCCACGAAACAGTTCAGAAGTCTTGTATTTCCGCACTATCAACCTTACAATTCCATCACCTGATTGTGGATTGAAGAAAATCTCCTGTGTCCTCGTTGACCTTTGAAAGTACTATCTATTTTCTGTCAGTGAAAGTTCTCTGTGCTTTCTTCCCCCTATTTCTTGAGCTCAGGGATCCCATTACCTTGCTCAGTAGAGGCCGGTCCTTCCGGAATCTACAGACAACAGCACATATCCGGAGTGCCAGACTGGGCCGTGGAGATGTGTTGCCTGAAATGTAGTGCAAACAGGTAAAAAAGGAGGAGAGATAAAATTATATTGGAGAGGCAAATTGACAAGAATGGGACACATGTACAGAGGAAAGAGAAAACAACAAAAGAGTAGAAACTCAAGGATAATTTGGTCCAGGATAGAATGAGCCCTGGAAAATGACCCTGGACAATTCTGGGATTCTAATATTGCAGCCTTGCCACCCTGCCTGTACCATCATTTGTCCAGCTTCTCTCATTCAACAAATTGGTGGTGCTGAGCATCTCTTTCAACCCACAAGGCCAAGCATGCAAGGAATGTAAAGAGATGAAGTCATCATTGGTTGTGTCCTGTTGCATGTTGCCCCGAGAGCTTCAACTCTCAGGCCGTTCATAAACTGAACCAATAATTGAAAGGGAAGGTTTTCCTTACATGGGGAGCCACTTGTCTCCAGTGGGCCAGGCTGGATCATGTGAGCGGTGGGAATGAAGGCCTCCAGCAAGATGCTCTCCTCCTCCTCCAAGGTCTCCAGCAGTGCAAGGACCGCTTGCAGGACATTCCCCTGTTCTGACTTCACGTGAAATGACACAGCTTGGGTGCCATTCCAGCGCCAGCCCGATGGCTTGACCACCACCTGTAGGGAGAACAATGGAAACAGTGGTGATCTTGCATCAAACACCTTCCCCACAAAGACATACCAGGCAGCTCCTGCATTGGATCAACATTGCTTCAAGGCTCCGCACCTGGTTGTAGGGCTCCATGGTACTGCTTTGCAAGAAAGCCGCAATTTCCTCTTGAAGCAGGTTGTCCTGCCCCTCCCGGCCACTCAGCTCCACCATGCGGACGCGCTGCTCCTCGGTCACACTTCGCAGGGGCAAGGGGCGCTTGAAGGTGAAGGCCAGGGTTGGGGGCACTGCTACATGGGCCTGCTGGTCCATGAGCTGGCGGGTCAGCAGCTTGTCCTCCAGCAGGCGAGCCAGCTCACCTGAGCCCCCAGTGGGGCAGTCGAGGTCTCGGGCCAGCTCTGCTGCCGACTGGCCCTGCACCTTGCAAGGCCCAAAGCACCCCGTGAAATAGGTGACATGGCGCGGGGGAGCAAATTCTTCCAGAGTGGTATGACCCCCAGCCTGAAAAGTCACTGCCTTGAAGACCAGCAAAGACGACTCTCCAGGATGTGATTCAGAAGGGACTTTGGAAAGCCAAGTTGGTGACAGGCACAGCAACATGTTACCTGGGGAGAATGAAGAGGGAAAATCCAGCCTGTAAGTGCACACAAGATTCCCATTGAGGAAAAGCTTGACCCTAAAGTGACAAGGATAGTCCCTGGGCTCAAGTTCTGGGAGGGGCTGCCAATATTTGGCAGGCTGTGAAACATTCATGTCAGTGTAATCAGCAGCAGCTGGGAGACTCGGAGCCCTGAATGCTCTCAATGCCGTCAACACCCTGATTATCTACCCTGACCACTGCCTTGGAGCCTGCCGAGCAAGAATTTGTCCTATTCTTGTTCTCTGGAAAGTGTCAAGCTTTCCTATATGATACCATTGATTTGAAAGGGATTGAACGGGAAAGTGGAAATGGAACTGTCATGACATCATTTCCACTTCTTCAGCATGTAGTTATTCATTCACTGAAGGAGCTGTTGGTGACCTGATGGTTAGAAGGCTGTAACTGGAGCACCTGCGGTCTGATTAGTCAGTCCGGAATCCTCATACCTACATTCGCAAATGTTGGACAGAATTCCCATTCAAGGAAAAACCAAAGGCTTGCTTGCTGCAGCACCATGTGTGACTTCACCTCAGCAAAATCCTGAAGGAACACAGCTGCCCTGTTCCTCAGGAATTCCCACCTCAGGCAGCAGTGCTCCTTAGGATATCCACTGTCCTCCAGACCAGTGCTGGCTCTCTCTCCAGAATTCTGAGCAGGTGTTTTTCCCAGCCCCAGCTGGCGAGGTTGTGCATTTAGCCGAAGGTCTTTTGCAACTCATGTGTTCTACCACAAAGCTATGGCCCTTCCAAAGCAAAGTGCGGCTCTGCTTAAAAATCTAGCACAATCAGTATCCTTACCTGCAGGGAGAGGGCCCTATGTGCACGCACTGCATTCCAGTTCCATGCAGGCAGACAACTGAACAGCTGGAAGTTGAATACTACACCAGCAGATGTGATCCTTAGTCTTTCCTTATGGCTATGCAGCGTAGTGGGTGAAAAGGGCTAAAGTGAGAGGAAGAGAAGCCCTTTTCCTCATACTCTGCTACAGCAGTGGGAGGGCATACACAGAATCCTCGGTCTTCTTCCAGCTTGGAAACAACCATGCTAGAGAAGATGCAAGCCTGTATCAACACTGGCCATTCAGCATTCTCTCCCACTCACATTTTTGCTTGAATCTTGCTAGCCATGCTAGGAACTGGTACTCCAGCTGGTACTAAAATTAAAGTGAAGTTATGTTTTTACAGGCGATCGCAACAGATCTCTTCATTGTGTGCAGGGCTCCCAGTTCTTACAAAATGAAAACACTTGTACATCAGACAACATTGAATCAGAGGCTTCAGACCGGGGCAGCGCCCTCCACATGTTGTGGGATCACTTCCTCTCTGACCACTGGCTCTCCTGGCTAGAAGTTATGGGAACTAGAATCCAACACCATCTTCAGGGCCAAAGTTCCTAACCCCTAGTTTGTCCACAGAGGGTTCTCAGCATACTATGACCACTGAAGACTTTGGGCACTAGGAAAAGCCACCTCAAGCCTAGAAGCCTTTCAGCTGCAACCCTTTCTGACATTCAGACCTGTTCCCCTGCACCCTGGTGGTATCTTTACACCCCAGCAACCTTTCCGCCTGTTCTTTGTAAATGCAGCATTGAATGCTATGAAACGGAGAAAGTCCTTCTGGAAGCCATTAGTAGGAAGAGGAATCTGAAGAAGCTGAATTCTGAAATGCTCACAGGCTGGGCCAGATGTTACTAGCAGAAAACCAAGGCATTCTTAGAACATTTAAGGAGCTTATTTGGATATAGCATGCTCTTCAAACACACCTTTGGTTTTATTGTCTCTTCATCTGGAAGCTAGCCATACCTTTTGGTCTGTTTTGTAGCATTCAATTTTACCATTCAAACTAGGACACAAAGATGAATCCGAGTTTAAAGGGCAACATGCAGACATGGTGCTGTCAGTTGTGACTGGACCGTGTGCAGTTCAGTAACTGGGATACAGGGAGGCCCCTCTGCCATAAGACAGGGTCCAATCCCTCCTCAATAACCATTTCTACCATTCTTGTTGGGAAACCAAATTATTCAAACACATTTATGCCACTGTCAATTGACAACTCTGTGCAGGTATTTTGAACTTTGGTGTGCCTGAGTTTAAGCACAGATGAGCTCTTAGAACCCCAGAAAAGTAGCAGCTAGACTGATTGGAAGAAAGAGGAGGGAATCCTGGGAAGTGTGGGGGGAGGACTGTGCCTTCGTGTGGAAGGTTGTGGAGAGCTGACCTTCTGCTTCATTCCTGCCTTACGCTGCTCCATGCACTTTAGCCAAACAGAAATCTGAGCAGCTCAGCTGCCACAGGAGCTCTAGTTACCACCAATCCTGTCTCAGCTTCTGAGATGCCAAGAATACAACAGAGCAGCTGCCCAAGAGGGTCTGCAGGAAGCATGCACAGCCAGATATCTTGGTCCAAACAGAATCATAGACAGGGAGAGCAAACTGATGCGAAGTTTGGGCACTAGCTTTAGAATGAGTCACTTCTTACAGTCAGTATGAAAAACCCACAGGCATTATATTGTTTCAGTCAAAGTTTGTCATGACTAAGTCCATGGACCAGGAACAAAAGATCCAATCTATTTTCTGCTGCTTAAATCAGGCCATTTTAGGATATGTTTGCTTGTCTATAAATACAGAAATTGTGATATTGACAGAAGTATCCTGGGGATGTGTACTTAAATGTAGCTCAATTAGCTTAAACCAAGTTCAATTAGCCTCCCTCCCAGGTATGTTCATACAGGATTCAGTCTGAATTCCTTATACCATTTAGGGAATCAGACTGTGTGGTTTAAATGCGTGAAAATGTGGCAACAACATGTATTATTATGCAAGTCTCAGCTATCTGAACACTTCAAATTAAAGACCACTCCCTGCAAAGTCTTGAATGTGGGTGACTCCAAAATCCAGGGGCATTTCATCCACCCCACAAAATGCTGGAAATCATGTTTTTCTTTTGTCCTATCTGTGGATGTGGAAAATTTTTGAAACACCTGCAAAAAAACCTCCAACTTGTTACCAGTGACAAAAAGGTAACAGGTGTGTACACCAGAAGCAGAAGGATCTCTTTCAAACTCTCTCTAGCTGTTTGAAAAAGCTATAGGCTGTTTCCCTGATTGTGCATTGTCTCTTGCACTTTCTTTGGATTTTAACCTTTCTCTGAAGAACTCATTTTCACCTGTATGGTGTGTCCCTGCAGGCACATATGTATATATACACATATGTACTTTCCAACCATGCTGAGCCTCTGGTGAAGTAGCTGGAAGCCTACAACAGGCCATTACGTAAGTGCGTCAACCAGCTGGGCCAAGCTGAAGGGACCAGACCTAAGTCCTTTGGCCATGACATTAGGATGGAACTCACCTGGACACTGGTTGCCACCTTCCAGAAGCACAGACAGGTATGAAGTGGGGGAGCCCAAGACGCAGATGGTAACATCTGATGGTCCAAACCCTGGAAAAGGCAAGGGAATCAGTGGCCTGTTGTTCATGCTGGTTCTGGAAACCGTACCACCCCTGCAAACTCCACTTTTGGCGTATGAATTGGGTAGACTCAGTCAATCAATTCTGTCCTCCCAGCTATAGCCCATATCTCAGCATCATTCTACAAATGGATTTATGTGAAATGAAGCACAGCGTTCACCACGAGGTGCTTTATCAGACATCATGACTACCTCTGCAGATATTCCAAAGCAGATGAATGGTAAAGTATTCACATCCACCTCCTCCATTTCCTTTGAGGTGCAGGGGTAAGCCATATCAGGAAATGCATGTGAACGGCCACCATGCTCCATCCCCTCCACATCATCTCCCTGTCCCATACAGCTTCATTACGTCAGACACCACTGCAGCTGCTTCTCTAAATCCAGCCTATACATTATATTGCCAAGTGGCCTCTTCTGAAGCCTTGCTCAAGTTTCATGCAAAAACTACCTGCCTCCAGTAATCTGCATGGCTAATTCTGAAAACAAAACAATGGAGCTCTCATGTGCTGGTCACGTCCCCCAATATAAACAACAACTGCACTTTTGTAGCTCTGTAGCAATATTTGGCACAGACACAGTGCTCTGCAATGCTGCACCTATATTATCTTGCTTGTATTCTAAAATCATGTAAAAGTAGGGCAGTAGTATTGTCCCCATACTGCAGACAATGGGCTAGGCTGAAAGAGACAGTGCGAGCAATTCCTGTTCCTTTCTTCATACAGTGAGGGACAGGGTGGCAAGCTGCACTGCCTCTGGGGTATCCCTTTTCCCAGTTTTGCAGCTCTCCATCAGTTGAAGGCTGACTGTCTGAAGTAGGGAATCTTCCCTACATGTGGGGAAAGGCAGAAGCCTCCACAATCTGGGTCCTGACTTGCACCAGGGGATCGTCACAAGTAGGTGAGGTTCCCCATTCCCGGTGTTCGCCCTTTGATTTCTGGAAAACTGCAAATAAAGAAGGTGCTGTGCTTGAGAGGATGGAGCTTATCAGTGTACCCCAGCTCTCCCCGCCGGCATTGTAGCCACGTGAAGAATGGGAATGTCTGCACTGGGAAAGAGCCACTTCCCCAAGCTTTTCCCTCCAGGTGTGTTGGACTGTAACTTCCATCATGCCCAATGCTGGATGGAAATCATGGGAGTTGCAATCCAGCACAGTTGGAAGGGACTCGGTTGGGCAAGCTTCAGGGAGGGCTCTTGCTTAAGGCCTTCTAGTGAATTTGTGGCAGACACAAAAGCAGGATCAGGAACTTTCTACTGTGCTGTGGCTCTTGCACACACCTTACTCTCCCGCCCCAAAACTTGGGGGTTGCAGTGCTCTTTTTAGCAATGGGCTGATCATTCAAGCAAGCTGTGAAAGAAAGGGATACTACCCAAACTACATACCCCAGATTACCAAAGGGGATTAATCCAGGGCATATTGCGCTCTCCCTCAAAATATTGCCTGTTAGCCACTCACTCTTCCAGGTCCCAGTCATAGCAGGTTGGTATTTCATGTGCATGGCAGAATCTCTACTTTCCTAGGACTGATCTTGATCCTTGCCCTTCTGGCAAACCTGTTTTCCTGGAGTTGTCCCTATAGGAGATGCACCTGAATATTTCACTCCAAAGCCATGGCAGTCAGCCTGTCATGCTTCAGGCAATACAGCTCCTTCTTCAGGGGCGTAACTTGGAAAATCTTTTTTAAAGCATTTTGCGTAGGACTAATTGCTTGTAACTTCCACGAATAGCTTCATGGCAGCTGTGGAGCCTTCACACCAAAGAAGCGCTGCTCACCTGTTCGGGGCTCCTTGGTGAGGTCAACTGTCTCTGGGAGTCCCTCCTGCTGCAAGGTGCACTGCAGCAGGTCATAGTAATAGGCCGTGCAGGCTCGTGCCTGTGCATCCTCGGGGCTGATCTTGCAGTCCAGGGACACATCCCGGCGCCAGGCACAGCGCAGAGGGCTCAGGGGTGGCAGAAACCCCTGTTCTGCCCAGTCCAGCTCCTTGGGTGTTGGGGGTGGCTCCGTGTGGATCTGGTCCAGGGACAGCTGTGGAGAGAGAGAGGTGAGGCGCTTAGGAAGTAGTCCCAACAAAGGTGAGCAGACTCGGCTGCAGGCTGGATCCCACCAGGGCAACAGAGAGCAGGCAATTCCAGACAGCAGACCCTGGAGGTCTGATGGGGAAAAAGAGGTCCCATTGTCTCAGTGGGGCAAGGGCAAGGTGCACTGGGTTCATTGCACTGTCAGGAGACCAAAAAATAATTAAGGCAATTTTCATGTCAGAAATGAATTTTTGGTGTACCTCAGCCTGCTTTATTTATGTGTTTACTTTTTAGTCACTGCAGAAATGCATTTAAAAATGGAATTGGACCAAAAACAGAGCAGAGCAGAGCAAAGCAAACAACGCAACCCTTTAGAAACTTTCAGATGCCTGAGGCACAATCAGGGCCACAATCAATGCCTGAGGCACAAACAGTTAAATTGGAATTTAAAAGTGGCAACATTTTTCATTATCACTGTTAATAAGACCCAAACAGGAAGGTTCCTTGCTTTCCCAGAGGGGTGAAGCAGGCTTAATCCTCGAAGGTTAATTGATACACGACCAGGAGAGGTGGTGGTGGAAAGACTCTAGATGATGAAATAGAGGGAAAGGTGTGGTCTGAAGGCACTTAGGGCAGCCACAATGCACACTGATGTACAGACAGGTACAGGTGACAGGAAGAAAAGAGAGCAAGGCCAGACTTACCATAACTCAGGATGAAGTTGCTGCAAGAGAAAGGGAAAACAATAAATGAAGTTTCTTTATGCTTCTTGTGACCCAGGCTGTCATCCCTTCTCCAACCCTCGGCAATCCCTGAATTTGATTTTGTTGACAGCAGGCCTTCACAGGCTAACACAGTGAATGCAAGGACCAACACGAAACAGTGCTCTGCCTGATTTATTGTCCTCACTAAGCTCTTGGACAAGAAAGTGACCGGCTTTGCATGATCATGGAGGGGGAAAGCAGCCACGGCAGCTTCTTTGCCCTGCCGTGCATGTCAGTCATGTATCAGGCATGCAAATCCAGAAAGAGAGGCTTTTTGCTGTGGTAACAAGCCACCCAGAACATGCACTGTTGTGGCAATGAACCAACCCCACCAGTTAGCACAACACAACAAACTGCACTGTTGAGGGAAATTATACTAATCCCCTTAAGCATGTGCAGCAGGGAAAAAAAGCCTTGTGGCTTTCATTTCCCCTGCTGTGATCAGGCAAACAGGGACAGTATTGGGCTTTTCACCTGCTGTCTTGAAATTATGATATGATTCAGAAAAGAAAACCTTACACAATTTAACATTAATTTTCCCTCACTGCTGATATATTACATGAACTTGCATGTCCAGTTTGTATGCCTGCTCACAGCTTCCTGCCCCAGCACCTTGCATCACACAGCTGGAAAAGACCTTGCAGAAAAGGGATAGGTATGTGTGTACACTATTTATTTATTTAAAACATTTCTATGCCGCCCCCATCGCAACAAAGCCTCAGGGCGACTCACAAAGAATACATATATGCATACATAAATAATGATAATATAACAATAAAAAATAGTTTAAAAACCCTCAATGCATTTTTGGCTAAAAATTTTAAAATCCTAATTAATTCAATAATTTAACAATTAAAATAAGTTTTAAATAAACAGGTCTTAGCTTGGCACCAAAAAACAAATGACGGCGCCAGGCGGACCTCTCTGGGGAGCGCATTCCATAGATGGGGCACCACCGCAGAGAAAGCCCTCCTCCGGGTACTCACCCTCCTAATATCATTTACAGAGGGTTCCCGGAGAAGGGCATCTGTTGCTGATCTCAAGGGGTGGGAGGGCATATATGGGCGCATGCGTTCCTTTAGATACTAGAACAGAAGGGCCGTGGATCTGCACTGGATTAACCTATTTCATTTAACTGTGTTGTACTTGTATCTTTCCGCTCTTTTCCCAAGCAGCTGATGGCAGCATTTGGGGAATTCAATGCATGTTTACCCTTGAGTAAGTCCCACTATGTTCTACACGGCTTATTCCTCTAGTATGTTTAAGGATGTGGGCTATGAACACTAATAGCAATTGCAGAGTGGTGCATTTGGGGGCTTGACATAATCCATGAACATTCCACAGTGAAGGATGGCAGGGAGAGAATAGTTGCAGCTGATACCAGCGCCTGGGGCGCTGTGCTGGCTTTTGGTACCAGGCAGGTTGGTGCCTGCTCTGTGTATTCAGTCCAGGCTGTTTGCTGAGCAGCTCCCTGGGGATCAGTGAACTGTGAAATTTCCAGTTATTCACGAAGATTTAGATGAAAAATGAGGCTAGGACTAAACTAACATGCTTGTCCATTCTTCCTCCTCCCCAACCTACTACACCAGCTCAAAGGTTCACCTGAGGCCCCCTATTTATATGCCCAGGCAATGGCTTTCCCTTCTCGCTAAATCACAGTTGCCCTGGGCCCTAGGCTGAAGAGGTGTGAGCAACAGATACGCTACAAAAAGCCCCGGCACCCTGGAATCACTCGGGAAGCTGAAGCCACTCATCTCATTCTCGCCTCTTAAAAAACCTGCACACATCGTTGGACCCAAAATGACAGTGTGAGAAAAAGTCATGAAGGTGCACATGGCACCACGGCCAATGGTGGCTTTATGGCACCTACTTCAACTCTTTAAGCAATGTTCCTCTGCACCTAAAGACCTATGGGCTCACTTTTACTATTTCCTTAAATGTTGATGGCCCAGATTCTTGGAAATGCTATTGCTATGTCCATGTCGCAGAGCAAGAAATGCAGCAAGAATCTGGCTTTCATGTGAATAATATTGAATGTGCCCTTGGTACTCATAAGCCCCCCAAATCAGGGGCTTATAAACATCCAATACAGAGTAGAGGAGATCTCTACCTCCTTGTACTTTGTGCTATGCACTTTAGTTGGACAGCCATTTTCCAGCTATTTTTAGCCATGCGGAGTGCTATAAGGATACGGTGTACCCTGGAAGCCTCAGCCTCCTTTCCTCCCTCAGAACACCTCCTTCACCCATTCTCCAAAATCGCTCTCCCAACTCTGTGTGTGGGGAACCCTAGCAGAGACCTTGGCTCTGACCTTGGCTCTAGGAATCCAAATTATGCTACGGCAGTGCTCTCTCAGAAAACAAGTTTCTAGTCCATAAAAAAAAGCATAATCTGCAATAAAAATTGTCAGTTTTTATTTACTACTTGTGAACTCCAGCTGTCCATGGCATACAACCCTTATTTATCCAGTTCTACCTAGCTATTGCATATAACAGCTTTGTAAATTCACTTTTCCTAGTTTATGACAAAAATGGGAACAAAAAGGAAATTCTACCAGCATCCACCACAAATTCTAAATCCAAATACTGCATCCACCATGGAGTTGGCAAATAAAAATCAGTGTGCAAATGAGTTCATTTATCCAGCAGATGTCTGTATCAGAATTATTCTTAGAAGGACAGTTTTCCTCTTCCTCTACACCCTCTTCCCAAGCATGGTGTGATTCTGAAAGATCAAATGATGACGCTGGACCATCTGTCTTTTCATGGGAAAGATAACGTCCTCTCATCCTTTACACTTGCTGGCTCTAGTGGTGTCGACTTAGAGGTGATACTTCGCAATGTGACAAAGTGCCTGTGCCTGCAATAACTGTGCAGAAGAGAACTTTTTGGTAGGGGCATCTTCCCCACTGCAACACTGCTGTGGTTGGAGGTACAGAGACAGACCAAACAAACATGCAAGACCTCTGCTCAGTACTGCTTCTAAAACACTCCACCTCTGTTCTAAATGAGCAACTAGAATATGAAGCATCTCCATTCTGTGGTGCTGAATTGTGCATATAATTTCCCTACCATCATACCTATGTTTAATCTGGATAGCAAATGATTATATTTTAATTGAAAAACTCTTAGTCTGTCCACTACACTTGACTATAGCATGCATACAAACAAAATTAAACAGCAGGTTGTGTAGCCTCGGCCATCTGATGAGGAGAGGCAAATTATACAGTGCAGTACAGTGGCTAGCATCTTGAAGGTAGAAGATTTGGAGGTTGGACATTGAGGTTTCAAAGCCCAAATGTTGATAGTGGGCAAGTTAAACTGTTGCACAATGCAAAGATGTTGGAGAGCAAGATAAGTACTTTTTCATGTTTGGTAGCTCAAGGAGGTTGCAAATAACTACCACACAGAACTCTGACACACCCCTCTGAGGCAGCATGAGTGCTTAAATAAAACTGTTCCATCTATGACAAGAGCTAAATCAATATCCTTTCCCTCCCAAACTAGTCTGACAGAATTATATTCTTGTTAGCTGCATGGAAGCCAGGGATCTCTGCTCCCTTTCTGGGCCTCCTTAAGTAACATGAGAGCCACTGAAGGTGTGAGCTGAAACGGCGGGCAGGAGAAATGCTTGCTGGCTCACAGCCCGCTGGACTCTTCTCTATCCAACAAGGCATCACTTTCTCTCTTCATCCTATCTGGTATCACTTGATTTTCCCATACATCTGAGTAAGATGCAAATTGCCCAGAGGCTTCGGCAACTAAGTGGCACAGAACTTAAATGAATAAATAAATAACAAGTACACGGGGAACAGAATCTGGAATAATACTGCAAACTTTCAGGCCACAAATGTGTATTTACTTACCTAGGAGTAAGCTCTATTACACAATGGTAACTAGTTCCAATTAGGCATGTATAGGATTGTAATTATTAGGATTATTCCACCAGTGAAACATTAGCTCTAGTTACAAGGTCTGCCATAAGCCACATAGAAAGCAAAGGTAACCACATTGGCCATTAACAAATCTTCAAAGTCCATATTAGTGTAAAATCTTTATTAGGCTAGTCAAAAGTTCATCCCAAAATGTACAAACTATTCAGATCTCCAGATCTCTTCGACAGATGAAATGTTCCAAAAAGTGCAAAGGGGGAATAGGAGGAGCTGTCTTGATGGTGTCTGTTGAGCATCTCAGGGTAGAGGAGAGATCTGTAGACATTCAAATTAGAGTCTAACAGATCATGGGATGGTTACAGGTTGGATCTAGAGGTCATGCCCCAACACAGATGATTGGTCTCATCCATTTATACAAATAGCAGGTGCAATACTGTTCATTGAGGATACTGAGATCTCACTAACTTCAGTGTAATTGTGTACAGAACAGCAATCACAGCTTTTCCACAGATGTGGCTGCATCTTCACATTTGGAGGGGAAGCAGTATCAGGTTGCACTGCTTCACAGCAGAAGCGGTATCTGCAATTTAATGGACAAATTTACCACTCCTTGACTGTAACATAGCAACCCATCCTGGTTCACGCGCCATGGCGGCTTTGCATGTCATCCAAACCAAGACCACTTCCCACAGAGGGCTTGTTTCCAATCAACAAGCCACCCTGACAACCAATGGCATGTTCTAAGAGTTGCTGAACTCATGATGGATTGGCTTGTCCAAATTCAGGAGACCAAGCCTTTCATGGGTTGTGGGAAGCAGCAGGCAGACAAATTAACAAAGCAGTAAAGTCCCCTTGATACTTTTGGTGATCTTGCCTTTGTTACTGCAATGACAGACCCTCCACTGATGCCCAAGTGACACTTTGGAGCATCCATCACTGGCTTATTGCCTTTAAAAATGTGTAGCACAAATTTTGTTCATTTTTTAAAAATTCTGGTCACTACATAGATACACACTCACAGAAGAATAGAATTCAGAGCCATACCTAGTTAACGTCCTGGTAAGTGTCAAAGTGCAGTGGGCAACATCTATGGACTTTGACCAAGCAAGGCTGTATATGGGTTGCCTTTGATAGCTGTCAGTTGGTGAGCTGTCAATTGAAAATCAAAGCAACAAAGTGTTTTTCCTTGAAAAGGGGTGGAAAGGACATCTCCACCTTGTGGTCCTCCAGTTTAACAGTGTTGTCCTGATTGTTATCAGTTCCCTCCATTTGTTTTCACACTTTCCTAAGACTCGAGGTATTCCAGAAAGGGTATTTGCCTCTTGACCCACTTTACAAGCACATTCTTCTGACAACTGTCCAAAGAAAGAATTCTTTTCTTTCAGCCTCTCTACAAATCGGAGCATTTTTTTCTAGGACAGGGAAATATAAGCAGATTTCATGGTTGGTAAAAACAAAAGTGAAAAACTACTCATGAATGCAAAGGGGTCTCCATTAGGGCAGGGAATTGGAGACAATATGGGTTCTACAGTGAAGAACCTGGGTAGAAGACCTGGGAGAAGGAGGGGAAGACATCTCATGGTATGACTGATTGTCACAAGAACCCACCTTGGATAGCTTATTCGCAGGGTGGGTTACCATGTAATGCAAACTCATCTATTGTTAAAAGAAAAACATCTCTCATGTTTCTTCACCAAACCTTCCTGGTATATTGAGAGCACAATCCTATATATCCCAGTTCAGAGGAACCCCTCACTGTTCAGTTGTATTTAGTCCTTGGTAAGTGTGTGTAAGAGTGTGACCTAAATAGATTTAAACTAAACAAGTTCAAGATCTATAGAAGATACATTAAAATGTTAGATGCAAAAGATTTCAGCTTATTGTTTGATTCACATACCTGTCATTCCAAAAGTAAATTGCATGCTAGTTTTGGATATAGATTGGAAGAAAAAAACTCTCTCCTCATGTTTCTTTTCGCTAATTCTGTTACAAAAAGAGGGGCAGTGAGACACTCACAACAGAGGCAAATATTTGAAATCCTAAGTCTCAGCTAGAGACCTAGAGGGCGACCATTAGTCACAGTAGTCATTCCTGAATTAGATGGACCAATGGTCAGGCTGGCTTTAAGGCAGCATCATGTGTTCATTTCCGATCACCTTGATGAAAAGGAGAACCAACTCTTTTCCTGTTTACCGAAGTGATTCACTCTGAAGTAACTCATTTGCTATGTGCAGGCGCTAACGCAACTGCACCCCTGCGTTCTTCTTAACTTGCTCAATTTACTGTTATCTAAAGTAAGAAGAAGAAATCTGCAACCATTTAGCAAGTTCAGGTAAATCGTGGCTGCAGTTGGCAAATATCATAGTCACCCTAGTGTTTACCAAAGAAAACACCAACATTTGATCCAGTAATAGGGAAAAGTAGTTTTTATCTCAGTTTCAAGTTCATTCTTTAAACTTGCCCTTGAGATTGGTGTACTAGTTCACTGCCTACCATTTCAAAAATAAATATATATACTGTTAATTTGTTTTATATTTTTAATGTATTATATTTTAATTTATGTTGTAAGCCGCCCCGAGGCTTCGGCGAATGGGGCGCATAGAAATGTTTTAAATAAATAAATACATAAATGACCAGTCCTCTTGATCATACAGGCTCAATGAGAGGAGGTCAGTTGCACAGGCTCAGTTCTCCTAAGATCCAAGACTCAGCTCCTATTCTGTCCAATTATGAGTAAAAGGATCTCTCCCAGCCTGCCTGAGACTGGCCTTACTATTACAGGGTGAGATGATTTAACACATTTTTAAAGAAATGAATTTGTTTTTGGAATTAGCATAACAAAATTGTTTTTACAGTTAGCACAAGCACAAACTTGTTGAGGATAAAGTTATTTTTGTTCTGATAATACATTACATTAAAATACTTTTGATATTTGATCAATTGACCTTTTCAAAACACTTCTCAGCATTAGTACTCCCTCAGATGGAGAGTTGATTTACTTGTTACACAAAATGAAGTAGTAATTATGTAAATGATATTACCTGAAAGGTTTGTTGTATAAACTACAGAGCACTTTGTAATACCAGCTTTTTATGATGTTTTAATATGGTATATTTAATATTGTATTTTTAATGCACTGTTGTGAACTGCCCAGAGAGTTTTGGCTGTTGGACAGTATAGAAAATAAACAAACAAACAAAATGAAATTTATTCAGCCACATTTCCTGAAGTTGCCTTCCAGAGCTTTTGGATTTCAACTCCCACAAGCCCTAGCTAGCATGGCCAATTGTCCGGAATGCTGAACTGTAATCCCAAACATCTGAAGGGCATGAGGTTGGGGAAGGTTGTCCTACAGTCACATCAGACGGGGCTCTGATGTGATAGAATTGTGTATCACTTGGCACTGCAGGTGGAGGCATATTTTTGGTTGCCCCCCAAATCCCCCTTGGTGTGTGTAGTATACAAGCTTATCAAAGATAAAGCTCCACCATAGTCTTTGCTGGTGCATGCAGGAGCCTTCTATGATAATAGCTTTACCTCTTAAGCATTAGAATGACTTCTCCATGGTTGGCAGCAATGAAGTAGTACAATTAATCATTAGCAAAGTCCGACTAGAGAGAGGCACTGGTGGTATGTTGCTGCTGTTCAGGACTTGCATGCAGGTGCTCCATCTATTCCCTCCAAACTCACCCCTCTTAACTTTTTCTGCCATGCTGCTCCAACATCTATTGCCAGACGCCTGGTGAGTCACAGATAAGAGCTCTTTTGAGAGGTTCTCAGTCCACCATTCAGAAATGGAAAGTATCAAATGTTATGCAGTGGGGTACAGGGAGAACTATGAACTGAAACAGCTGTGCATTCTCAAATGTACTGGATTAGGGCAGTATTCCAGGCTGGGAGCTGTAGTGCAACATACATGGGGAAGGCATATCAGGTGGAGAAGGCTAGGTAGGGACAAGGCCTTGCCCACAGAGGCTTGGGCTGGGGCAAGATAAATCTTTTATCTGATAAAAAACGCTGATTTCAAGGATCAAGTAGGTCCTGCAAGGTTTCTGGTCCTGCAGGGTTCTTGGTCCGCAAGTGCCTAGGGCTTCAGGTACCAGCACCCTTGGTCTGCCCATCCATAGACAGGGACGCAGGGGACACGGGGTCCGTGGTGCTGTCAGCTTCCTATTAGTGGTAGGTAAGGCAGAACAGCCCCAAGGATGCCTGTCTTCTTTGCAGAAAGCGCTTCACAGCACTCCAAGAAGAAACGCAGAGAGGCCCCCAGCAAACATGCTGCAAATGACCCCTGACACTTCACCGCCACCCTTCCTTCTTGTCCACACACAATCAACGAGGTCGGGGCAGGGTAAATATGTGGAGGCCTGTAGTGTAAAGGGCAGCCAGGGCAAAAGCACGGGGGCCATGCGTGCCTGCACCGTAATTCCAGACTACTTAGTCGAGGAAACATCAAAGAGGACGAGGAAGCGCTGATGTTTCGACGGCGGTGTAGGCATCAGATGGTTGCCGGCGCCTCCGCAGCTTGCGCCCAGCCGCATCAGCGGGAGATCCTAGACTTAGCCATCATCCTCTTCCGACCGTAGGAACGTGCTGCTTTCATTCACCAGCCTGCTCTACAACGCACGACGGAACTGCAAGCCTGGCTTGGGATCGCCAGGTCAAACAGGGCCCCACCAGCAGCTCGAGAAACCCCCTTCCCTGGCCCCACACCGCGCGGAGCTGCCTTCCCGCGCGGCCTCGGGCGCCGTGCTCGCCCACCCCCAGCCACCGACCCCTGGATCCGTCCCAGGACGGCCGAGCCGGCCGCCTGCAGACTTGCGCCGTCCGCCGCAGCCGCAGCTCGCAGGCGCGCACGACAAGCCGCTCGCACACGCCACCCGCTCCAGCGCAAGGCGAGCTCTGCCCTTAACGAGGGGGACGGCACGGCTCCCGCTCCGTCCTGCCGAGCACGCACGCGAGTCCGCGAGCAAGCGGGCACCCGCACGCATCCGCCCACGTGGCCCCGCACCCCGACCCCCGTCTCCTCCGCCCTTCCCTCGAGCAACAGGCTGCGCCCCGGTCTCCCAACTCCCCCGGCCGCCGCCTCGCGCCCCAGTCCGCCGGCGGGAAGCGCGCGCGAGAGCCAGCCGGGAGCGGAGCGGAGCGGAGCGGGGAGGGAGACGCAGCGCGCCGACGCCCCCCGCCCCCGCCCCCATTACCTTGCTGCTGCGGCGGCGGTAGAAGGATGCCGAGGCCGAGCGGCACGACGCGGTGCAAGCCGTTGGCGAGGGCGGGGTGGCAGGCGCCGGGGAATGTCCCGGAGATTAACTCCGCCGGGCTTTATATAGAAACGGCGCAGGCATGCCCAGTGGAGCGGGGCAGCTTATCGACGACCATCGGGGCGAGGCAAGCGGGAGGCCCTCGCCAGCGCCAGAGACGCCCACAGCCATCGGGGGAGGGCGGGAGGCAGGGCCGCGCCCGCGGGCTCGGCGGCGAGCGCGCGCGGATGATGTGCGGGAGGCGCACTGGTGCGCGCGCGCGCGCGCGGGGTGGGCTGCGGGGCGAGCCTGCAAGGCGGGGTGGGCGGGCTCGCAGGCCGGCGGCTGGAAGTGAGGTGTGCGAGCGGAGGAATGTCCTCGGAAAAGCGCCCGCTCTGCTAGCGCCCCGATGGTCGTGGGCAAGTGGTCGTAGGCAGAGCGCTGAGCTCCTTCACTCCCCCTGGGATAGACTGGGAGTAATGTGCCCATTTTACAGATGGAGAGCAGAAGCGGAAAGGACTTTCCCTAAGATTCAGCTTGGAGCCCTGTTGCTCCAACCCCAAAACTCCAGAGAGGGGCTATTTTCCTCGATGTTTGTTTGTTTGTTTGTTTTGCCTTTGTATTGCAAGGAACATTTTAGCCTCTAGGCAATCCTGGCCAGCAGGTGTGGATGAGTGGTAGTGATTTATCCAAATTTGCCAAACCCATATTAGCTTAATACCTTTATTAAACCAATCAAAAGCTCACAAAATATGCAAACTTTGGAGATCTTCAGATCTCGTGGTTTAGGTTTATTGAACTTCACCGGTTAGGACAGAAGTCCGCAACCCAGCACTTTGCAAATGTTTTGGATTATGGTTCTCATTATCCCCAGCCAAACCCAAACTTTTGGACACATAACAACAACTAGCTTAGATACTTTATGATTGTTAAACAAAGGAACAGCATTGGTTCAGTACTTTTCTTTAGCATCTAGTGGTTTACTATCTCGAATTCTAAATTTGGGATTTGAATGTTTCAGAGAAATGTCACAGACATTGAATTTCATGACCTTTTAGGCTCTGGTCTCATGTGTGCCCCCTGAAATCTGAACAGACATGCCACAGTAAATCAGTTAGCCTAGAAGGTACCACAGGACTCTTGGATAAATGCCACACGCTCATATACACTGTGCATTTGTCAGTGCGCTGGCAAAGATGTATGGGTTCTGAAAACCTTGGAACATGAGAGTCCAGCTATTATCTGGTGTCAGCAAGGAAAAATTGCACTCCATTGATCTACTACACTCTCAGTATCCCTGAATAAAGTGGACAAAAGTTCCCATCACTTTCAGTTGTCGTTATGTACCATCAAGACATCTCCCACTTATGGTGACCCAATGAATGAGCTCCTTCCAAAATGTCCTGCCCATGACAGTCCAACTCAGCTCTTCTAAGTTTGAGCCTCTGGCTTCCCTAAAGGAGTCAATCCATCTCATCTTTGGTCTTCCTTTTTTCCCTTCCGCCTTCATTTTTCCTAGCTTGATTGTCTTTTCCAGGGAGTTTTGCCTTCTCATGATGTGCCCCAAGTACAACAGCTGCAAATTTGTCAGTTTTGCTTTCAAAGAAAGTTCATTTTAGTACTGGAGTTTTATTTCACTGTTGTATAACCTGCAGGTTCCTCCTTCCTCAAACACAGCCAACTTAAATATATGGGTTTACAGCTCTGTTATGAGTAATCTTTGAACTTAATGGCTACACAGAAAGCCTGGGCTTAGGGACTAAAAATCATGAGCTAGAGATGGGCAGCTCTATTGCAAATATGGATGCATCGAAGGACGGACACAGGCTGGGCTGGGGTAACACTGTGACAATAGCCAGACTGGTCTGCACTTTCTTTGACAGTGGCGCAGTGGTTTAAACCGCTGTGCTGCTGGGCTGGTTGATCGAAAGGTTGCAGGTTCAAATCTGCACAATGGAGTGAGTTCCTGTTGCTCTGTCCCAGCTCCTGCCAACCTTGCAGTTCAAAAGCATGCAAATGCAAGTAGATGAAAAGGTACCACTTTGGTGGGCAGGTAACAGCGTTCCGTGCACTTTGGTGTTTAGTCATGCTGGCCACATGGCCACGGAGACTGTCTGCGGACAAACACTGGCTCCCTTGGCTAGGAAACGGAGATGAGCACCGCCCCCTAGAGTCAGGCGTGACTGGACTTAACGTCAAGGGGAAACCTTTACCTTTACCTTATACAAGGTTGATGCTATGATGCCTGGAGAGAATGTATTCTTACAGGCCATGGCTGCTTCTCAGGGTGGAATGTTAATGTGCCCAGGTGGCTCACACAGTCACAGAGTGGTTAATATGCCACAGTGGTGACTTGTGCATGCACACTGGGCATCTTCCAGGGGGATTATTTCCCCAGCTACAATTTTGTGAACTGGACCATTATAAATTTTGTAACATGTAATGACAGCAACAAATCTGTTAAGAAATGCTGTAATGACAGCAACAAACAGATTTGTTGCTGTCATTACAGCATTTTAGAGTGTGCAAAGTGCTCACTTACTAGAACTCTGTATTAGTATATTCTCATTGTACATGAGCAGCTTAGGCTTAGAGTCACTGATCTGGTTTGCATGTAATGAGATGAATTTCCCTGCAGGGGTTAACATGGCCATGATTAACAAGCCCCCCAGAACCCCGGAACAGTGACTGGGTTTGCATGATATGACATCCCATTATGGGATGCTGTCATAATAGTTTGTCATGTTGCATGAACAGAGACCAGTTCCCAGAAGGTGACTTGTTTGAGGGCAGGAAGCCATCATGACAGCCCATAACTTATACTATTGATGGGTTGTCACATCATCTGAAACTGGCTGACTCTACCATCACAACTGAGGACTGGCTAGTGACTCCCTGAACAACCCCCTTGCTGCTCTTCCTCAGCTTGCCTGGGCACCTGCCAGTGTCAGCTGCTCCACACATACCCAGGCAGCACTTGGGCAAGGCTGGCACTGGCTTGCAAGCCTTTCAGCCATGATTGTCTGCTATTTTCATCTTGCCATGGCTTTTGTGCATTTCAACTGTTTTTCTTCCTTCACTTGACATCTTGCTTTCATAATCTTTTTTGACAACTATTGAATGCCCCTTCAAGATGTTTGAGCGGTACCTGTTACTGGTTGACAATTTTTTTAAATGGGCACTGTATGCAAATAGATTCTTTTTCCCATTTCTTTTTTAGTCATATTTGCACTACTGTGGAAATTGTGCTAGAGAATGGAATTGGAAAGCTCAGCTGGGGAAATGACCTGGAGGGTACCAGAGAGGCTCCTAATACGCTTCCCCTCCCCTTTGGGTTCTCTTGACAGTTGTCAAAGGTGAGCTGACAAATGAAAACAAACTTTGTTCAATAAAAGGGGCTGTCATGATGGCTTTATACCTGATGGTGTGATTTATACCTCTTTTGTGACAAAATCCTTATCTTTTTTCATCCTGACAGTCCACGGGGTAAGAGCAAAACGTGTTTCCTTACCTTTCTCTAGGGAAAATAAGTTTTGATAGCTTTGAGAGCTATCCGTCAAAACTCAGCTCTGTTTAAAAGGGAGTTGTACATATCCAGTTCAGCCAAAGTGTTGTGAATGCCCATAAGAGGACTGAGAGGAAAAGTGGAGGAAGGAAGGGGTAAACACCATAATTCTAGTCTTATTTATATTACAGATGGACAACCTCAGAAGATATGGGAGACATTTTAATTCCCTCCACTGGCTGCACTGATTTTTTTTTAAATCACCAGTTTGCTATCAAAATTCAGTAGCAATCCATAACAGTCAATAGCACTAAAATGGTCAGCTTGTTACCAAGCCCCATTAGAACCTTTAAGTGCTCTGCAGCTGGACATCATTGTGAATATTCAAGCTTTGAGGCAGTTCCTGTGGCTTATAATAAGGTGGAAATCTAACCAGAGGGACTTGTTGCCATGGGTAATAAGCCACTACAGAACACTACTAGAGCTGATGGGTTTTGAGTGGCTTGCTACCCAGACCTCTTGTAGTATGTCATGATAAGACATGGCTACCATTCACCATGGCCTGTGTATTCAGAGTGGAATCTGGTACAAACAGCAACCCAGTTAAGCCATGGTGGTTGCCATCCATTGTGCAAACTGAGTCATATTGTGCTAGGGTTATCTTAACAAGTCTCAGCTAATTCCCAGAATTCTTCAGAGAAGCCTTATTTGTTTATGTGTTTAGCATCAAATATAATTGTGCCCAGTGCAACAGCAGCCAGTACTAGCAGCAACTAGCAGCAACTCTAATCATTGCCATATGTGGGATTTGGTTTCTGCTTTTGCTTTGTATAAGCAGATACCCACAATAAGTGCAGGTAGTTAATGGTGCACTCTGTTCTGCTCTGTTTAATAAAGCAATTAATTATATAACCCCAGGTCCATTCTTTTGATTATGATTTGAAATCTACTGCTTTATATACTTTTGCAAAATGTCCCAAAGAGTTTTTTTTTAGCTTCCCTGACTAATAATAGTCCTTTAAACATAATGTGTTTGCCCATGTATACAATATTAATAGTTCTACTAAAAACATCATAATAGTTCATCTTTCCCCTAGTATCTTATACCTTTTCCCATATTGTTTCATTATGTGGTTCCAGAAAAATACTTTTAGATGGACGGCATAATCACCGCTGTCAAAAAATAAGACCTATTGCTGGGTTCAGGCACACATCACAAAAAGCAATATAAAATGCCTGCAACTGATGGATCCCTCTAACTCTCCCCCCCCCCCCAAAAAAAAAAAAGCATTCAAGAAATGCAGTCACGTACAAGGTAGCCCTCGCAAGAACTCAACTCCCTTAGGGCACAATCTTATGCTAGTTCAGACTTTAAAAACTCTGCAGCTCCTAGCATGCCCTGGACCTTTGCTGGATCAGAGGACCAAAGGTCCATCTAGTCCAGAACCACAGCCAAAATCTAAAGAACTCAATGATTTGCTGAGCCAAATAGGGAGTGAGGGAGCTATATGGACCTTCTCCCACCAATTCTTGGTAGTCCTCTTACTTTCCCAAAGCAAGAGGTGAATTGGAGTTACAGCTGCCTTTGTATTCTCAGACATA